AGCCGCTTTCTGCAGGCTTAACCTATTTTTTGCTAGAATCTTCCAGAACTTCTCCATTTAATCCAGTTGATGCCACTTTACGATGTTACTATTTGAACAAACCCAAGTTTTTGAGGGTTTGAGAGTCGCTTTTTGGCCCATTTCCCGATAGGGCGTGCAGAAAAGGTGAAAAATTAACTTCGGACTGATTTTTAAATGGGCTACTTAAACAGCGACTTTTTTCCTAAAATTTTGTGGAAGAAGTCTGCACAAAAAGCAGTTCGTATCGCATTTGTTGTACATCGTCATCTTCAGTCTTTGACTGCGCTAAAAAGCTGGAATTTTGCCTTCGTGACCTTCGCTCTTGCTAAGGCTCAAAATTTTAGTGTAATTCTTTCCTTAAATTCAAGACATCTAACTATGATCTGAAGTAAGTGTAAGCTAAATTTGCATCTGGAGCAAATTTGGCCCTCACTATCACTGATAGAACTACGCTTTAACCTACGATTGTTCCCTGATGTGCACTTCCCATGTATGTCGAACGAGCATCTGGAATTCGATGCTTGATCTGGTGATTGGATCACAGTTGGTGATTGGATCACACCAAAGGGAATCATGAGGATATGAGGTGAATACGATGTCAGTGCGCCCTCCTCGGAAATTTCTAAAGCAACTCAATCGACAGCAGCTGACAGTATACTCCTTTCGAAAGCGGAGCGAGCTGTGGTCGGTGCGAAGATAATCCTCTTTTTGCATAAATTTTGAGTGACTACGCAGCTCGCCGCTGTTACTGTTGCTGCCTGCCTGCTGCCTCGCTGCATGAGGTAAAAAGAACTCCCAAATACCTCAAAATTGCAAATCACATTTTGGTGCCCTCCTCTGTGTCTGCAAGAAGCGTTCCAGCCATTCGCGGACGTAATTGTCAGGCGCAGGTCGGTTGAGTGACGGTAGCCGGACGGACGGGTGGTTGCAGTGATTCGGTTCATCCATGCACAGCATTTCGAACTCATGCCTCTTCCCTGCCCTCTTCCACTGTACCTCCCATCGCCCGTCTACTAGCCTTTTCCCTCATCTTTCGCTAATTTCACCAGCGCCCTCCCGGTCGCTATTCCATGGAGGCACGAACTGCATCGAATGCATTTTACATTTTCACTCAATAATTTTCAGTCACCTGTCATC